ATTCTTTATTGGGGGAGAAAATAGGGCCACCCCCATAAACAGTCCCATGAGGACTGGCTTCACTGGGCACAGAATGCTTAACTGTTGGGTGGAAGGGGATATGGAAACAAAACTGAAAGATTACAGCTATTTTTCAACTGATTTCTGTTCTGTTCTGTAGAAGTAGGAAAGAATGGAAGAAGCTGCTGGAAAACACAGGGCAGTTGCAAATAGAATCCAATGTTGTCTGGGCTCTCTGCAAAATTATTTGTCTGTTACAGAATGATCATAGGATAAAAGCTTCATTTGGAAGTAGAAGGGAAATGGAATGGAGTATCCTGGAGAAAGGCAGTGAACAAGAACGCTCCACATGCAACATTTTGTTGCAGATTCCACTTGCTTCACCTAAAGCACAAAGGGTTTCCAGTGGAATGAATTGCAAGGATTGAAGGTTGAGCAGCATGGGTATAATTGTCCCTATTACTCCTGTGTAGACTGTTAATTTCTTTGTCATGTTCATAGCTGCCTTTCAAATTCTTCTGTAATAACACCAGCTTTAATTAGTTTTGTTTACCTTTTCTTTGAACAACTTGTTAATTTGTTAACAGAGATACTTAGAGGTTGATCCACAAGCGGAACACCCACAATGGGAACTGGTATTTGTGGGAAGAAAGGAATTAACAAGAATAAAGTTAAGAATTTAGTGTTTAATTGGTGACTAAATTTACTTTTGAAGCCAAGTTAGCCATTCATCTACCAACTTAGCTGTGTATCATTCATCTAATCACTACCTTTACACAATTAAAAATGAATCTTATACCCTTTCACAGATCTGATTTAGGCTGCAATCTTCAATGCACTTACTGGAGAGTAAGTCCTATTGGGCATAGTGAGACTTACTTGTGTGTAAATTTACATAGGATTCCACTAATATATGAACTGCTATACCTGTGTTTACTATTGAGTCCCATTTGTTTAATTTTAATATGTGACACTTTCTTCCAAATTAATAAGTAAAGGGTTAGGATGTAAATCTTTTCACTAGAATTAGTACCTAGCAATGAATTCCTTATTGCCTGTGGATTCCTCTTGCATGGGCACTGTGAATATATAATACCGGCTTAAAAGAGTGATAGCCAGAGATTAGGATTCCTCAGTATCTTATTTGTCACCCAGAGCTTTCCTTGGTATTTTATTTGTCATCCAAATAACATTGCATTGCATTATTTTCCATTCTGATTTCTGAGTTCACTTGAAAGTGAACTGTCACTTTTCTCACAGAATGTAAACAAAAAGCCCACGTAACACGATACACGTCATGTATAAGAGGTGGGAAGTAAAGGCAGTGTGACCTTTCATTGTTGGGCAAACTATTTGCATTGCATGAGGAAATGGACTTCTCTTGCTTTGACAGTTTAGGAAGAGGTATACACAGCCATCTTATTAAATAATGTAAGCCTTAAATTGTCAAATAAGGTACAATGAGCATTCAACAGTGTTGGTGATTTACTGCCAGATTTACCAGGTTTAGTCCAGTTTGGAGACAATTCTAGTATTTATATTTAATTAGCGTAAATGAATCATGCCAATGGAGGAAAGGAGAATCTTGTGATAAGGTTCAGAGTGAATTCAAATTTACCATACCAATACATTTTTAATTTGTGAAATAGTCCCTTTTTTAAGGATAACTAATAATTTTGTTGAAATTGACCAATTTTTGTATGTATCAGGATTCATTATGATCCAAACATGGTGCATTTCATAAACCCAACAATGCCAGGAACTTGTTGAATTGCCACAATTATACATTCCCATGTGTACCATACTCAAGATAAAACCATCTCCAGGTAGGACTGCACTGGAATGTTGAAGATGCAGCCATGTAATACAGATCTATTTTCTTCATAATTTCATTCCTAGTGATTGAAATAGTTGATGATCTTCTGTGTGTCCCTTTGTCAAAAATGAAAATACAAATGTAAAATCTTTGAAACTAGAATCTATATGAGGAATGGACAATCCTCAGGCAACATGCAACCCTTCTATGAGAAATCGTGGAAGGGCAGGAGAAGTGTCAGATGACTGGAGAAGGGCTAAAGTTGTCCTTATCTTCAAGAAGGAAAAGAACAACCACCTGGGAACCACAGACCAGTCAGTCTGACTTCAGTCTCTGAGAAAATTCTGGAGCACCTTATAAAGCAGTCATTCAGCAAACACCTTGAAAACAATGTAGTGATTACCAGAAGCCAACATGGCTATGTCAAGAACAAATCCTGCCAGACTAATCTGATTTCATTTTTTGGTTGGGTAATCTCCCTGATGAACTGTGGGAATATTGTGAACATTATCCTGACTTCAAAGCTTTTGACAAAGTGCTCATGATATCCTGATTAGCATGACTAGCTAGAAGTGGGCTAGATGGAACAATTATCAGGTGGATTTACAGTTGGCTGCAGAACTGAATTCAAAGAGTAATCATCAATGGCAAGTTATCGAACTGAAGAGAGGTAACAAGTGGGGTACCACAGGGTTCAGTCCTGGGACCAGTGCTTTTCAACATTTTCATTAATGATTTGGATGAGGAAATGCAGGGAATGATTATTAAATTTGTAGATGATACAAAACTGACTGGAATAGCTAATACCCTGGAAGATAGAAGGAAAATTGAAGGTGATCTTGATAGGTTGGAGTGTTGGACAGAATGAAATTCAGTAGGGACAAATGGCAAGTTCTGCACCTAGGATAAACCGTATGCATTGTTAAAATATGGGGAATACTTGGCTCAATGATACTGCAAGTGAGAGATCTTGGAATTACTGTAGATCTCAAGCTGAATATGATCTTGATCATTGTAGAGTGCAGGACACAGAATAATGGACTCAAGTTATAGAAAGTCAGATTCTGGCTAGATATTGGAAGCATTCCTGACTGTAAGAGCAGTATGGCAATGGAACCAATGACCTAGGAGGGTTGTGGGCTGTCCCACATTTAGGGGCACTCAAGATGCAAATTGACAGCTACCTTAGAAGGATGGTTCAACTTGGAGGCTTGCACTGAGCAGGGGGCTGAACCTGATGGCTCTGTGGTCCCTTCCAGCTCTATGATTCTATGATTCTAAGCTGCTTCCTGTGCGGTCCACTGAGCCCCAGAAAGCCTCACCCAGTTTTCCCTCTGCTGAACTAAGGGGGAAAGCCTGCTGTTCTGGTACCACTATTAACATACATAAGGTGAATGTTATAATGAATTTGCTAAATCTTTGATAAACACTTCTTACATATAGGCATGACCATGCTTTTCATTTGCTGGCAACATCTATAAACTCAGGTTACTCTGTCTTGTTTGAGCAAAATGTAGCTTTTTTCCTAGTTTAATTTGCATTTTATATATGTGTCCATGTGTCAGTTTTTTGCTATGAGATCATTTTTTACCACTCCTACTTACAAACTGGAAGCAGTAGGAATCACTGCTGTGTTCCAACTAAAACCTCATCCGCTTGAAGCTGCTGAGAAGACCCTACTATGAAAGCCCTACTATGATTCTAGTAAATAAGTCTACAAAAAGTTCATTTTATAGCACAGCAATTGCAAAAGTGATTCTTGGGCTTAAGGCAAGCTTAACTATTAACACAATTCAAAACATTGATAGTCAAGCGTATGTCTCACAAAGTACAATGGGGCAATACTAGTATGTGCATTGGGATTGCAGTCTGAGAACAAATATACATCCTCAAGCAACAGATGGCTACCTTCATAGACATTCTGTGTGGCATATACAACGTAGGTCTTTTCAATATTCCTGCAAATGCTATTGGCATCTTACCTAGAGGTTATTATGTACTTCTAGCTAAAAGTGTGTTTCCCAGTGTTATACACCTACTGAATGTGAGACTTGGATAGTATATCAAGCTTGCTCATTCTTATTTACATTTGTGAGAAGTGTCCAAGGACTGTTAATTGGCTCCTAGGAATGTGGAGCACTGGCATAAAAAATTATGCCAAATGGACACCCTGTAAAATTGAAAGGATGAGAGACAGAAAGGTTTTTTTTTTTCTTTTTAGAAGCATCCAGATTCTTCACACAAATATGGTGAAATATGTGTTTAAAATTTGACCTGCAATACAAAATACAATACAGTACAAAGAAACTCAGACCTGTGACTAAAAACATCACCAGTTTCTGAAATCTGCACACAACTGACATGTAAGTCAGTTTTGCGACAGGACTGCATATAAATATTTTAAATAAATAAGAATGAGAGCAGATCGTGAAATGCCTCAAAATTAAGGGATTACTGGCAATGTTTCCTTTGCAAATCATGTGAATAACTTGCTTCAATGGAAAACCTTGCTGTACGCTATTATAAAAAGTAGTGGACTTTTAGCAATAGTACACATTTGACTTGTAGATGCTGCTTGCTAATGAGAATTTAACTGGATCTGTTTATTCATATAGGAACAGGACTAGCTGTTGTATGACAATTATGCTGTATTCCTTACTGTTGGCATAAATTATCGAATGTATTTAATTGGCATGCTGTGTACATTTCATTTCCCTGGGCCGTTTGGTTAAGAGCTAGTATAGGAGATTAACCTTAAATAATTCTTTATTTCTTCTGCCTTTAACAGCACGGATTAGATCTGTGTACGGACTGGTTTCAGAACCCTTTATACAGGCTACGGGGGTGCTTATTTTGTGGTGGGAATGGTCGTGCGGCTAAGGAAAAGAACCCCCCTTTGCCTATACTAAGAGTTATATGATTGCCTATGAACCGCTCTCCTCATACACAGCACTGCAGCAGTAAGCTCAACCTCAGAGCTGTGCATCCCGCCTCAACCATCTCGCTTTCGCTCAGTTTTATATTTGCGCGCCCTTTCAATCCTTGGTGACGTGTCTCCCATCGCGCCCAATCCAAAGCCTCCTCTGGTCAGGACAATGGAAGGTGTTCCTCCAACCAGCTTGGCTGCTTCCTCGCTGTTGGCCAATGGGAAGAGGGCTGTGTTGAGAGCAATGTTACCAGTGCTGAGAGAGTGAGGAGGCTGCGTATCGATCCCGCTCAACAGCCATTGCAGTGCATTGGACTTCATAGGAGATCCAGGCAGCTTTGGGTGGGCAGTGCGCGTGTGTTTGTGACTTGTGTGAACTGAGCTCCTAGAGTGCGCGGAAGTGTGACACGGGGTAAGTATTTTGCGGGGAACGTCGGAAGGAACGGTGTAGGTTTTGGGGTGAGTGCGAGGTGCGGAATTCGCTCCTCATAGACACACACACAAAGCGCGGGGGGGGGAGTCTGGCATTGGACACACTTTTCTCAGCACCTTGGACGCGAAGGAAGGTGGCGGAAAGGCGTTTAAAAAATGCCAGTTCCCCAAACCCTCCGGATGCGGAGTTTGGGAAGTGGGCGAGGGGGACCCTAAATGCCGGGAAAGCCCCCTCGTTGTGCTCAGTAGATAAATATGTGGAGCCGGGGTCGGCGTTGAAAATCCGTGTAGATGGGCGGCGGCGTGTGTGCGAGAGTGAGTGAGGGGGAGGCTTGATCCTAGGCGGCCCGGCGACCAGCGTAAAGCGGGCTGAGTGTGAATAAGCTGCTTACATAGCACGGCGTACAGAGCCATAGCCATTGCTGCAGAGTCTGTGAGAGGCTGGCGAAAGAGGCGGCGCGGGCGGAGGTGGGGGGAGACGGTCTCTCTCAACGCGGGCGCCGTGGCGGGGCTCGGCTCGGCTGGTCTTGGGTGGGGGACCGGGGAGGAGGGCGGAGGGGGCCTCGCCTGGAGGTAAGCCCCACGACGCCGAATCGCGGGAGCGTCTCTGGGCGTTGTTGGCCTCGGGGCGATAAATCACCTCGGGAGCTGCGCTTGCTGTAACATGGCTGACGAGAGCCGTGTGGAGAGGGAACGAGAGAAAACAAGGCGAGAGGGGAGACTTGACTGGCTTGAGCGCAGGCAGGCAGGGGGAGGCGCGGACGGGCGGGGGCGCAGTTCTGGGGAACTTTTTCAAGGCGCCTTTTCTCCCTTGGCTAGAGAGCGCCGGCGACCGTTTAAAAGTCCGGGCCAGCGACTCGCGGGCCGACTAGGCGGCTGGCCGAGGGTGATTTCCTTTTTGAGGGGCTCAGTCGGAGGTTTAGATAAAATAAAAATGAAAGGGAGGGGGCGAGGCTGTAGCGGCCTTTAGTGCAAATGAAATGCTCCCCCCGCCGCGCTCGTTCCATTGCTTGTAATGGCTGAGTGTGCGCCAGAGTACAGAGCGCACCGACACACAAAGGGAAGGAAGGAAGGAGCCATATTCTCTATGAGCAGCGGCCATTCCGAGAAGCGGCCTCGCTTCCTGCTAAGCGAGCGCTGCAAAGCCAAAGCTAGGGAAACGCTATTGGCTATAGCGGCTGCCGCCGCCGCCGCACTGCCAAGCGGGGCTTGGGGTCCCGCGCACCCGCGGAAAGCGCGGCCTTTACGCCGCAGCGGAACGCCCGCGGAGTTCATTTCAGGGGGACTTTCTCTCATCAGCAAGGCGTTTGCACAAAATGGAAGGAGAATCGCTGCTGCCGCTGGTGACCTTCTTAGGCAGAAGCCTGCGCCATTGTAACATCTCTTCGCTGCTGCTTATATATTAAAGCACAGAAGATGATACCTTAGCAGTTCAATTCTAGCTATATATTGTCGAGGGACTGGGTCCTTGTAGGCGAAGCATATCAGAACAGTCTTGTCAGCTAGAACACTTAGAGTAATAAACTCGTAGCAGTGTGTAGCTAGTTATTAATCGGAAAGGGATGTAAATCTTCCTGATATATAATTAATTAGAAATACAGATTTTCCTATGATTTTTCCCTTGTCAGTACTTGAGAGTTGTACTTTTTTTGCTACCATACTAAAACCTTACTCTCTCCACTCCTTGCCAGAAGGTCCATAATTTATAAAGCATGACTAAAATAATGTGGTATGAAAGCTTTTAAAAAGTTTAAACAATTTATTTTTAAGAGCAGTATTAAGTGTTCATTCTGAAATGTAGGAAAGCACTTATTATAAGCATTTTTAATAAAATGCATTTACATATGAAAATAATTCCTTAAATTAGGAAATTCTATAAGGTTGTATAAATTATATCTATAATATCCATTATAAAGTATTTTCTATTATTTTCTTGTACTAAGTTAGCCCCATCACCCATAGATCCTTATTAAGTTCTAGGAGCCAATTCCCTGACTCCATCTCACCATATAGGCATGGGGAGCATTTGACTTGTTTACTTGACAGAAACTTTAGACCGGATGTGTTTAGTCAGAAAGCACAAATCTTTTTCTGTCTACATGCCAAACTGATAGGAAATACTGCTTTCTGTGGCAATACCAACTAGAATGGCACATTTCCCTAATGTGCAAACTAGAGCAGAGAAGTGCTGTTTTACACAGTGATACATAAGCCTGGGGAAACCTAAGTCTGCTCTAGCAAGTGTTTTACTTCTCAGAAGAGTGATTCTCAGCATCAGTATGAAAAACTGGCCAATAAAAATGGGATAATAACTTAAGAACATAAGAGGAGCCTTGGTGGATCACAGTGAAGGACTGACTGTCCAGCCATGGGTGACCAACCAGATGCCCACAAGAAGGAAGAGAGGGCAATAGCCCTCCTGCTGTTTTCCCTCCAGTTCCTGGCATTCATGCTTCTTCACATCTCTGGAAATACCATGAAGCCATCATGACTAGTCACTACTGACATTCTTAATGGTCTGAATTTCACAGACCCCTTTTACAAGCATGGTCCTGTAGTTTTAACTATGAAGAAGTACCACCTTTTGTCAGTCCAGAATCTCCTCGTGATCAGCTTCATTGGATAACCTGAAGTGCTAATATATGAAAGAAAAAACAAAACATTTTTCTGTTTTCTCCACCTCATGCATCTCAGGACCTCTGAGATGTCCCTCCTTCTATTTTCTAAACTATAAGCCCCAAACATGGTACCAGTTCTTCATAAGGCAGTTGCTCCAGCATCCTGAAGACTAATCCCATCAGCATATATATGAAGTAAGGGGGGGTTGTCCCAAATGTACATCATTTCATATTTATTTGCAATTAATCACACTGATTACCTATTTTAACCAGTGGGCAGTAATCTCTTAATTTTTTTTTTTTTCAACAAAGAGTTTTGTGTCACCTTAAAGAATAACACATTTATTCAAGCATAAGCTTTTGTGGACACTGTCAACAACATAAAATCATTTATTTAAAGAAAAGTTTATAAGCACAGGTCCCAATAGAGATCCTTGAGGATGACTACTCTTTTTATATCCATCCAGTATAAAAATTTCCTAATTATCCCTCTCTGACCTTTTAACCAATTACATATCTATAAGAGGACCCACCCTCTCATCCAGTGACTGCTGCATTTACTCAGGAACATTTGGTGAGGAGCTTTTAAAAGGCTTTTTCAAAAGTACACAACAGCTACTGGATCTGTCTATAATTCCAGAAGAGCAGCTCAAATGTCCATCTTGTATCTTCTGGAGAGCCTTTTGGATTTCTCTCTACTCATTACTTGGATTTTGATATGGCCCATGGAGATAGTATTGCATGAAGATACTTACTTGTATTTAGAGTCTGTAAATGCCACAACTCCATGCCTTCTGCAAGCAGTATAGTAGAACCTGTGTAGAACCATTTATCAGATGGTTGGTGGAACATTGGTCTAGTTTAAAAACAGAACCGCAAAATGGAAACCTCTTAATATGCAATTGTTTTCATTGTGCTCTTTTAGGCCTTGGCTTCTCTCATCAGATGCAGTAGGCTATTGCACTCAACTGCTTATGCTGTAATAAAGCAGGCTCTTGCATGCTCTTGCATGCTCATACCCTTTATAGGTATTTGTTGTAAAGTGCTTTGCTATAACAAGGGTAACCCAAGTGCAAAAACATCCACCTGTGCACAGATAAGGGTGGAGCTGATTTTCATCAAATCAATTTAAATCATAATTTTAATCACTAGGTTGTGATTAGGTTTAAAGACTAGGTTTAAATCATGGTTTTCTACATAATTTGCATGGATACCTACCTTACTTCATTAGAATACTCACAAAATGGGTCTCTTCTATGGCCTGCTGCCTTTATAGGTTTTCTCTTCCAGGGAAAGAATAATATGATCAACCTCAGTCTATTCACAAAAAGATCCAAAGACTTGTGGCCTATTCTGCTCAAAAGGTTTCACTTTCATAGTTACTGCTTGCTCCTCCCTCTCACACTTAGCTTCTTGTGCAGATCTATTCTACTCCCAACAATCGTACGATCATTGAGGGGTTTTTAAACTTAGCACTGAAGAGGTAAAGGGTTGACTTTGAGTACATAGATTTGCAAAGGAACAATGGGATTAAGGTTTTTTTTCCAACTCTGTATGTTTGCTTTACATTTTTGCTGTGAAGAAGAGGCATATGACCTCTGCAGACACAAATTCAGTTTTGAGAAATGTAAAACCAAGCATTTAAGATAATATTTTCTAGATCAAAAAATTGTCCAACAATCTTACAGAAACCTTTGGAGGAGTGAATGGATTAATGGAGTTCATTTACCAATAAATTTAAACTCTGCACACTTGTATAGCCTCATGCTATATAATTAAAAACTAATCCTTATTTTATGATGAACCTTTAGACTATAATGTAATATAATACTAATAACTTATTATTAGTAAGTTATTATTAACTTATTAATAACTTGTAATATAATACTAATAATAATATAATACTAATAACTTATACTAATATAAGTTATGGAATGCACTCCCCAGAGAGGTCCGCCTGGCGCCGTCGTTATTTGTTTTTCGGCGCCAGGCGAAGACCTTTTTATTTAAGCAGCATTTTAAATGTTAATGTTATTGAATTTTATTTGGCCAGGGCGGCTTATTTTATTCTAATGTATATATTTTACTTGTTATTGTTTTAATTTATTGTGTATTTTATTCTATGTTGTGAGCCGCCCTGAGGCTTCGGCAAGGGGCGGCATAGAAATGTTTTAATAAATAAATAAATAAAATGTATATTAAATAGAAAAGTATATTTAGATAGATTTTTCCTCAAAAAGCATTTTATTTAAAAATCCAATTGAAATAAAAAATATCCAATTTTTTATTTTTTAAATAATTTTTATCTAACCTGGCACTGGTCTTATTTATATTAAGCCCTGTGTACATGAAAGGACATAGAGCATAGGTAGGAAACATGTAGTGCTTGGCCTGATTTTGTTGGAAGAAGGAACCCAAAGGGTCAGAAAGAAGGCTGAAAAGGAAAGCGAGAGGGAGGTGAAATGAAATGAATGGCACATGAGAAGTATAAGGAAGCTCCCTGAATGTGATCCTTTAAGATTTCTGGCAAAATTACCCCCTGAGTGGACAGGAAGAGGGAGAAAAGAGAATTGCAAGAGAAGGGAGCCTTACCCACTGTTGTCTCCCATCCCTTCCTATCACAAGCAAGCAACACTTTACAAAAAAGAGGATACCCCACCTCTGATGTGCAGCATATAGAACTCCTGATCCAGTAGAGTGGTGCATGTGTAGTAATCTCTGCTGTATTTGGTGTCTGTGTTAACAGCACCAGTCACCAGTGGAAACCAAGAATCAGCCCCCTCTCATTGCTAAACAGGTGGTTGGTACTGTCAGAAGCAGAATGTGCCTGTATTTGTTCAGATATGCATGCACAGATCCCTCTATGTAAGTCATTACTGTGCTCAAGGATTTTTGAACTGAGGTTATAAACTAAGAAGTACATGTTTTGCAGCATAATTTAAAAGAACAATGCAGATGAAGAGGAATCACAACTTGCAATGCCATTCCTACTAGCAGTAGCAATTCAAAATAAATACATATCATTACGTTCTAGGATAAGTTTATGCAGGTCTTCGGGAACCTCAGAGGATTTATAGGTATAAATGTGCAGCAGTTGAAGTCAAGGAATAGCATATTAGCAATTCACTGTGTGGCATTAGTATATTTTTCTCCTAGTGTAGTTTTTCTAGTATAGTATATTTTGACTCTGCTTCTATTTTGGAAAGGATCAACAAATAGTGAAATATTTAAACATAGACATTTAGTCACTGGTGGCATCTTCAATGTTAGTCCACTCAACTGCAAATAACTCTAGCAATGTGATCAACACTGGATTCAATTGAGCAGACTTCCATTTGTATAATAGAACAACTTCTCCTTGTCCCCATTAGATCTCTGAATTGTTCCCCATGCTTCTGGAAGAGATTTGTGGGGGGCAGGGGCTGTTTTCTTTGTGGACAGACACTAATATCGGGTTTTGCTTTCTAACTTAGGCCTGCATGATCTTTTAAAGTCATCAGGTAACATCAAGTTCCATGTTTTGTTCAGATTTGCAATCACTGGTGTGTAATTATTTGGTTGCCAAGATAGTTGTTCAGGACGCATGTGAAACTGAAGGTCTAAATTACTAATATAGAAATTCAGGCTAGTTCTCCAAGATTTCTACTATCTCTTTCAGAAAACATAAAAAATGGGTAAAGGAGATCCTAAAAAGCCAAGGGGTAAAATGTCCTCATATGCCTACTTTGTGCAAACCTGCCGGGAAGAGCACAAGAAGAAACACCCAGACGCATCAGTGAACTTTTCAGAGTTCTCAAAAAAATGTTCAGAAAGGTGGAAGGTAAGGAGCTTGTTTTTCAAAATATCTAAATTAAGGGGCCAAATAAATGTATTTCAGAATGATTTGGATGTAATCCTGAACTGAGGATACTTACTGAATTGTTTTTTTAGACTATGTCTGCTAAGGAGAAAGGAAAGTTTGAAGATATGGCACGAGCTGACAAGCTTCGTTATGAAAGAGAAATGAAATCTTATGTACCACCTAAAGGAGAATCAAAAAAGAAGTTCAAGGACCCAAATGCACCAAAGAGGCCTCCGTGAGTATTTTCTAGGTTTAGCATATCTCATACAGCAATATTGCTCAGATTCATCTCTAGAAAATTAACAGTCAAGTAGCAGGGAGTATCTGTCTGTTCAGGTATGAAGTGTTTTGTGAATAATACTTTAAGTTCCTCACTTGCTATGCTTAGTCCAGTACTTTAGCCTTTACATTTTAATGTACGTAATTTAATTTTCAGTTCAGCATTCTTCTTGTTCTGCTCCGAGTATCGTCCAAAAATCAAGGGAGAACATCCTGGCCTTTCTATTGGGGATGTTGCAAAGAAACTTGGAGAGATGTGGAATAATACTTCTGCTGATGATAAGCAACCTTTTGAAAAGAAGGCAGCTAAACTGAAGGAGAAGTATGAAAAGGTAATGTCCATATGTAATTTTAGCTATTCCAGGTATTTGTTGTATCCTTAAATAAATGCAGATAACTAATCTGAGGAATAGATTTTCCTATATACTTGTACTTTTTCTGAATATTAAATGTTCCCTTTTCATATGACCTAAACAAACAACAGCAAGAACTACCTCACTTACTAAAACATATTTTGAATTAAATACTTGGAAGACCCAGTGGTGGTATTCATACATCTAGAAATGAATGAACAGGTTTGTGGTCTGATTAAATATAATTAAGCACTAATGTGCTATTAATACTAACATGCCTAAGTAGTCATATTTTGAAATAACCTGTATTGGTCTTTATTGTAACAGCTATGTCTTCTAGACAGTGGAGTGTCTTTATTTTTAATGACTGTGGAATGTTATTTGACAAGTGGTTTTAGTGGATAGGTACTGTAGTGTTCGATAGAAAATGGTCAGAATATCTGTTAAGCTTCATATACTTGGTTCTTGTGTACTAAATTGAATGTTAAGGATGCATGTTTGAAAATTTAGCAGAGGTATCTTTAATAAAAGCATTAGGTGAGCCTGCTGCTTCCAAGCTTTTGAAAGGGACACACACTTAATGACCTTTCCATTTCATAAAATGCATATACATTTTGTGTTTTCTTGCCCCTTGTAAAAGTATAATGTATTATATATGAAGCCAGTCCTATTTGGGAAATTATACTGGAGGAATGTAATATATTAATTAAACTATGGCATGAGCAACCTGACACCACAAGTCTGTTACTGTAGCTAGAAATAGTCTAGAGCTAATGGCACCTGTCAGGCATTGCTTTAAATCAACGAGATTCATCTCATTGGTTGTATGAACATTTTAGATGCAATTTCCACTGTCCCTGCCTTGTGTTCTGCACTTCACCCATCTAGAGAAAATGTCACTAGGAGTGTGTGTGTGTGTGGGGGGGGGGGGGGCGTTGGGAAGGAAGTTCAGGTGTTGCTTGGAGTCAGGGAAATCTGTTGACCTCCACTGCCTCCCCACCTTCACTACACCCCTTTTCTTCCTCTCTGAAGCCCATTTCTGGCATTGAAGAGGCCGTTGGCACAGTCTTTTCCATGCTAGCCACAAGGGAGACAGGATGGGGGTTCCAAAGTTTCAGTACCTTGGAACTGGGGCTTAGAATACTCCTTTTGCCTCTGTCTCAGGATGCCATAGGATTGTGGCCATGGAGAACAAATTATGGGTAGAAGATCTGACTGCCTCTTTGAAAAAAACCCAGATGTATAATTAAACTTGGGACTTTAAAAATGAATTCTATAAATTTTGAAATTTATTGAGTGTGGTATGCAACTCAACAAGATATACTGCATGCTGAAGGTGGCACTGTCTACTCTTTAATTGAAATGCATGAAATCTTCTGTTAATAAGGCATTAGGCAGAATCCTTATACTTCACTGGGGTGGAATAGTAAAAAAAAAAGTCATCTGAACAAGGTACAGGTTCTGAAACATAATTTTGTCAAATGTGTACAGTTAATTGAACATTCATTCAGTCTTGTAAAGGGGGCTTACATTGTATAACTTTACATGCTTTGACTTGATGCTTTGTTCTAAGGATATTGCTGCATATCGGGCTAAGGGAAAGCCTGAAGTAGCCAAAAAGGTAGCTGCAAAGCCTGAGAAAAGCAAGAAAAAGAAGGAAGAGGAAGATGATGAGGATGAAGAAGAGGAAGAAGAGGAGGAAGATGAGGATGAGGAGGAAGAGGAGGAAGATGATGATGATGAATAAGCCTCCATTTAGATCAGTTGTCTTGTCTATAAAAGCATTTAAACCCCCTGTACACAATTCACTCCTTTTAAAAAGAAAAAAAATAAGCATAAAGCTGTGTAAGATTTATTTTAAAACTGTACAGTGTCCTTTTCTTTTTCTTTTTGTATAGTTAACATGCTACCACATGTGTCTTTTGGTAGCTCAGTCCTTTTAGTGGTATCTCAGTGGCCACTAACTTTGCCTAGTACAGTATGGGGGTTGTAAATTGGCATGGAAGTTTAAAGCAGATTCCTTGTTGGTGCACAGCACAGATTAGTTACACATGTAGTTCATTATTCATCTTCAGTTGTCTGCATCATAAAAATAATAGTTGTTCTGTTTAACTAAATACCACTCTGTAATTGAAAAAAAAGTTGTAGCTGTTGACATTCTGATTGCTTCTAAGTAAATACATTTTTTAAAAAATTAGTATTGTTGTCCTTTCAATAGGTGCCCTTGTAAAGTCAGTATTTTTCTTTTTTTTTTTTTTATTTAGTTATATAGAAATTTCATCTTCTATGTTATGTTCTTTTGGGTTAACATCAAATTAGTTTTGCCTCTTCACATAATAAGCTGATACAAGAGCTTTGACCTACATGCCCTACATAATCATGATAGGGTAGAAAATAAATATATACAGCATATGCAAAGCAGTTTTTTATGTCATGTAACAGGTCACAGTTCTTTTTAAAAATAAAACACCTGTTCTTAGCCAATCCATATTTGCTCAGCTTTTGCTACATACAATATTCTACTGAGTTGTGTAAATTTACCAGTTTGGGAAGGACGAGAAATATAGAATTCAATTCTTTGTCATGGAATGCTTTCCAGGGGAAAAAGAAGTTCAAATTAGTGTCCTTGGAGGACTACTAAGAGAATATTTTCTCATAATGGTCTGTGAGAAATTTACATGTGTGACTTCATTGGCTGATAATGAGAGTTATATTTGCAAATATCTGAATACAGAGGTGAGTGTACCCTACCTAAGAAGGTAATGTTAAATGCTAAATTGCTGTAATCCTTTTAGGATACCATGTCAAGTGATAGTTGTGGGCTTTATACCATGAACTCTCCTGGTAATAAATCCCACAGGAAAAAGATTTTACTTTGTTAATGTTTTCTATAAGTGGTTCCATTGTTTGATCTGTATAAATTCATGTTTTCAGAACTAGTTTTAGCCCATTTTCAAAATTTTATATTGTCTCAAATTAAAATGAGATAAGATGTATCTTTTTATGTTAGTCTTTTATAACGCATTCTTGATATTTGCCCATTTTGTAAGTTAAACAGCTGTAAGGGAAAATACATTTTTTCATTTCAATGTGAAATGCAACATGGTATTCTAATGACCTCTGATTTGATAAAATAATAGGTTGCTTTGAAAACCAAAGTTAAGATTTTTGCATATTCAGTAAAAGTGCTGCCAATTATTAACTCACATTTACCTGCAGACTAATTTGGGAATTGATTGGCAATTCTGTAGTTATAAAATGATGGTTTTCAAGTGCCAGTGTTTAAAATAGCATTCTTGTAATTTTACACTTTTGATGGAGTATTGTTTTGTTATACAATTTTGACTTTTAAGATTCTTACTTCAATTTTGCATTTGTTTATGTATAACCTCAGGAGAATATTGAACATCTGATTTCCTGGTTGATACTAATAAAATAAGAATTACAGAGGTTTTATATATTTAGTTAAATGAGTTTACTTTAAATATTTTCTTCTCTCTGTTTAAATGTTTTAAACCAAAGATGTTATTTCAAAGGACTATTTGAGAAGAAGAGTTAAAACACTTCAGAGTCATTTCATATTCAACAGTACTTTTGATGAACACACACAGTATCATTAGCCTTACAAAAACATCAAATACATGGAATGTAAGATAATTCTTTTTCTGACCTTCCCTACTGTAGCCATCCCCCAAACCACTCTAATGAGCTGTGGGCCCCTCCTAAACAATGGTATAGGGCACAGGTGACTGCTAGGTAGAAGAGAGGGGAAGGCATGAAATTATAAACTACTCTGACTCTGTTCCATATCTATTTAGTCCAGCTGTGTGCAGTGGAGTAAATGGGTAGCAGGCTGTATTCTGGGTTAGTTTATATTTCATTTCTCTTCCCCTTAACAGCCCTTTATGCTCCTTCGTATACTATCCAAAAGGATCAGCCATCACTGTAGAGGGGCTTGCGGGTTGAGGGGGGCTGTAGGGAGGAATGGGGAGCCTGCCTTCTATGATCCTCTAACATAAGGTTGATAAATAATGCCTTCAGTGCCCAAACCCCAGTTTGCTTACAATTTCTTCTGTTAGTAAAAGAACATAAAATCTGGATCAGACACAGGATTCGTCTAACCCTGCCTTTTGTTCACCAGTAGCCAACCAGCTGGCCCATGGGATCTCAAGCAGGACACGGGTGCACCATTGCCTTCCTGACCATGTTCCCCAACGGCTGGTGCACAGAGGCAAGCCTTTTGCCACAGTTCTATTCTTTCTATAAAGAACTTGATTTTTAGCCAAGGCAGTGCTTAAAACTGACTTAAGTAATATGGTCTGTTTTGCTATTGTGCACATTATTTACCAAGATTTCCTGATCAGAGGAATATTTGTCCTGGTGTAGACATAGCGGAATTGTGAAGAGGATTGTACTAACCTATAAGTAAACAGCCAGCACATGAAAAATTGTAGCCAACAGCTCCAGTGTGCTAATTTTATACTTTCAGGGACTTGTGGAAATGTACTCAAAGATACCAGTATGAAATGAGAGAAATGTAGCATGATGTTACATATGGGAGATTTCTCCTTTTGTTTACTTTTGTGCAAGCAAGTGCAGCCCCGATTTGAAGTAGATCTAGTACAATCCAGGAATGGGGAGTTAAACTTCACCACTGTGCTTCCCTCCACTGAAACCCAGATAAACCTCCCCAATTAGTGTCCAGGGAGAAAAGAACTTGGTGGGGGATGGGTGGATTGGGGGTATCGGGGGGACTTCAGATGAAAGGTTTAAGCCTCCTTTCCCTGAAAGTTGGCCCTTGATCTGCATTATACTGGAGTTTAAAACAGTTTGTAGCTTGGCTCAAGTTATACTCTAGCACAAGAGTTTTAGTAGCACATTCCCATTTCATTTGCTCTCTATATAGACCAGGGTTGATGTATTTCAGGCAATAACCATAGGTTACCTCAGGAATTCTCTAGCAATATATTAAGGCTCAGTTGTTTTATAAGGCAACACAGGACTGAGAGCCTTCTCTGCTGGTCCAAGGTTCATCCATCCCATCTAGGGTTTGGCTAGAAAAACCAAGGAAATGTGTGGGTACATAGAGGGTAAGTTGTAAGTAAGCACAAGTTGTGACATTGTACAAAAGATCTAGTTTCCTGGCTTTGTGGAGCTTGAGCCTTCATGATATTATTTTAATTGGGGTCTTAAAACAAGTTTTTAAAATAATTGAATATTAATAACTGTACTGTATTTGCAGGCATCCAACAGAGGTTTTCTGGGCCTATTCTATGCTGCTATGTGCTGTCAAGTTGTCTTTGACCTAAGGCGACCCTAGAAATGAAAGCTCTCCAAAATGCCCTATTCATACAGTTCTGTTCAGCTCTTCCAAGTTCAAGGCCATGGGCTTCTTTTATGGATTAAATCCATCACATGTTAGGTCTTCCCTTTTGTCTTCTTTCTTCAACTTTCCCTAACACGATTGACTTCTCCATTGAGTCTTGCCTTTTCATGTTGTGTCCAAAATAGCCTCAGTTTGGTTATTTTTGCTTTTAGGGAAAACTCTGGCTTGATTTGATTTAGGACCCACTTGCTTGTTTTTCTATCCATCCAGTGTATTTGCAAAGGTTCCATGTTTTGAATGCATCAATTTTCTTTCCGTCAGCTTTCTTCACTGCCCAGCTTTCACACCCATGCATTTTGATTGGGAATATAATCACAGGGATAATCTTGGGCTTGGTCTCCAGTGAAACATCCTTACACTAGTTTCTTCATTGCTGCCCTTCCAAAATCTCAGCCTTCTTGGCTGCAGTTTCCCTTTGAATTGATGACTCAGCTGAAGTATGTGAAATTTACAATTTTAATTTCTTCATTATTAATGGTCAAATTGTTCTGTGGCCATGATTTTTGTTTTCTGAACATTCAGCTACAGTCCTACTTTTGTACTTTCTTCCTTCACTCGTAACAGGAGTCTTTTCAAGTCATTGCTGCTTTCTACCAGTAGTATGGTGTCATCTGCATATCTTAAATTATTGATGCCTGTCCGTCATTTTTCTTTCCTTCCTCTGATTCTAATGCAGCTTTCCTTATGATGTGTTCTGTGTACGGATTGAACAGCTTGTCTGTCACCTTTCCCTATGGGAAAGCATTCTATTTCTCCATATCCTGTCTTAACTCTAGCTTCTTCTCTGTGATACAGATTCCACTTCAGGACAATCAAGTGCTGAGGCACGCCCATTTCTTTCAGGAACATTCATAGTGTCTCATGATACACACAAAGACTGCTATACAGTACAGACCAATCTTTTTCTGAAATTCTTTGGTGAGCTTCGGTAGCCAATGTACATTCCTTTTTGAAATCTATCTGGGATGACTGGCATTTCTCGCTGTATATAGGATAGTATTCTTTGTTGAAACATGCTCAGCATCACTGCTTGCATGCAAGATAAATGCAATGGTCCTATGGTTGCACTCTTTTATATCTCCTTTCTTCAGTACTGGTATGCATAGTGAATGTTTCTAGTCTGTGGGCCATTGTTTTGTTTTCCATATTTGTTGTCATATTTTTGTAAGGATTTCTACTGATTCATTTTCTGTAGCTTGGAATAGTTCCATTAGTATCCTACCTACTTCAGGTTCTTTATTCTTTGGAAGTGCTTTTAGAGCAGCTTTCGCTTCACTTTCTAGACTAATATTTTATTTGCCTTCTTCATCTATTCTGGGCAAATATTTTATTTGAAGGTATATCAAGGAAAATCTTGGCCAGACTTGAAAATGTGTATGCAGGCTGTCAGAAATCCAGTGGATGAGTCATTTAGATGTGTTCTTAATTTTACACTGTACTGAAAAATCTTTTTTAACAGAATGAAATATTTCTAGAACATGTTTTTCATTCCTGTGATCGGTTTATCATGTTGAGCACAATTTCAGAGGTATGTAGAAGTTCTTTTAACAATTATCCGTAGTGATTGAAACCCAGAGCTAAGCAGTAGTGACAGTTCTTTGCTGAGATTCTGGAGAGTGGATCCATTTTCCAAATGGGAGCCCTTGGCTTCTGTGTTTCATCACCAAGCCACATGTGAAAAAGGAGGGTTCCATGTTGGAAAACACTAAGCATAAATTTCATAAAGGATGCATACATAAATTGTAGGAAGCTGTTCAGGAAAAGGGCAGAAGGAAGCAGGAGCAAATCTTAATGACTTAGTACATCTTGAGTGCAAGCAAAGTACAGGGAAGAAAGTTCTAGTCAGGTCTGAACTTCCTTTATCAAAACAAAAAACAAACAAAAACCTCACCAATTTGACAAAAAATGCACAGAGATTTAAATGAGAAGGAAATGGATAAAATATGGATTTTATAAAAAACATACTGCTTTGTGAATTTTGAGATTTTTTTCAGCACGAGGTAGAAATACTTGTAAGCTGGGAGACACACACTGAATTTGGGCACTACATTTCTTAGAAGGACCAACATTCCCACCCTAGCTTGCCCACTAACAGACATTACAAAGCACTTTACAAAGGCAAAGTTCATTTACAGCTATGTCTGAGTGCTGAAATAAACATCAGCATATTGGGCCACAAATAAGATCAATATGTTGGAAATGGCACATATTTGGGAATTTGAGAAAGGCATGAGAGGTTCTCCATCTGATACCTGTACCAATTTCTGAATTAGCTCTATGGGTTCTGTGCTGCAAGCTCACTGCATGTCCCATAACACTGCCCCGTTATCTGAAACATTCAGATAGGTGGCTTATGCTCTATAGACAGCTTATAGAGCCAAACTTGCTTAGCTATAACAATTAGAGTGGCCACTTATGAATCTCCAAGAAAAGATGAAGCTGCAAATATTTGCATAAAATGTCCTGTGCTAATGTATACATAGAGATGTGAATAATTTAAATAGAAATATATCTCTGCATAGTGCAGAAAGCTGCGATCAGGTGACCTGTGAGCCTGCCTGTTCAGTCTGCTGATCCAGCACTACCTGGATGGGCAACAGTTCTTAAAGTTTTTTATCTTTAAGGAATTGGATAGAACAGCCCTATAAACAGAAGAGCATCCTCTACCTACCATGTGCTTTCAGAGGATTCACATGATTATCTGTGCCAGAAGTGGACAGAAGGCAGTTCTCCAGATGTTTTGGATTCAACTCCCATACACCCTTGCCAGCATGGGCCATGTTGGGAGCTGAAAATCCAAACCGCCTGAAGATCTATTTTCTGTGACCTCTGACCTACCTTAAAAACTTTCCTTAGCTTAGATAGCTTACATTCTTTATATAATCCAATGTAGAGAACAGTTAAGTTTTAAAAGGTACTATCTGAAGCCCAAGTTTAAAATCAATTATGGGTGTGTTATTTTGGAATGAATGGCTGATTTAGAAAGTCCATGACCATTGGCTACCCACTTCCTTTTCTGAGCACAATGAAAAACTCGGAGTGCTCACCATGGAGGGTTCTTAACTGTAAG